TATTTGTAGAAATATATAATTAATATTAGAATGTGAATTTGTAGTTAATTTAGTTTAGTTAGCTTCTGCTAGAAATAGGCAAGCAGTCGAAACTGGAGGCAGAAAGAGAGAGAGATAGAGAGAGAGAGACAGGGATAGAGGTTAGCGTGTGTGGTTTAGACTGAGCGAAAAACTTGCTCTAGATAGGTACTAAAGTTAGTAGCAAGAGGTACACTTGAGTCGTGAGTACATAAGATCGTAAATCCATAAATTGTAAAACGTTTATTATTTGTGAAACATTGAAAACCATTTGTAGGAGACCGTTTGTTCAGTTTTAGTTTCAGTTTCAGTTTCAGTTACAGTTACATAGTTAAATGCCTTGATTGGCTTAGGAAATGGTGCAGGAGTTGCGCTTGGCGCCCAGGCTGCGCTCCTGGATGCGCTGCAGATGCTGCAGTTGAGCGGGCGTTGGCGTATGGGAGCCATGCGCCCCGCCCCCGGCGGCGCCCGACGATGTGGAGGCCGAACCGGAGCCGGAACCGTGCGACGAACCCTGATGCTGCTGCTGCTGCTGCTGCTGTTGCTGCTGATGGTGGTGGTGATGGTGGTGCTGGTGGTGCAGCGGTGTACCGGGCCCATTGTTGCCAATTTGTTGCGGCAACGACTGCCGGCGGCGACGCAGCGCCGGACTCAGGTTGTACGTAATCTTGGCCTGGGCCAACAGCTCCTTGAATACCTGCCAATAACAAAGCATCTCGAATTACTAACTAAACCACCCACAGAACTGCCAACAGGACTGCCAGAGGCCACCAGCACTTGCCTGTGTTATGTTCTCATTGTTGGCCGCCGATGCCTCCACAAAGCCGTTCTCCCAATCGACAGTTACCACCGATTCGGTTGTCGCATATTCCACCTGCAACAGAACAATAACTGTGAGTAACCAAACGGAGGAAATGCGTTTTCAAATACCTGGAATAAAGCTCTATGATTATAAGTCCTCAAAGAAGATGAAATGAAATGAAATATTTTTCGTTCTATTTCTATAATAAATTAGCTAGAACACAAAGAGAGTCTTGTATTTCATTGCCAGCAATGAGAATTTCATAGAAAGGCGTCAGTAAAAGCGAATGAAAAGAAAGAGAGAGAGAGAGAGAGAGAGAGAGAGTGGGAGAGGGAGATAATGGGAAAGAGCGTCCGATAGAGTGGGGCATAAAGTGCTATAAATAGAGAAATACAAAGTAAGAGAAAAATTCAGATTGTGAACGGGCAAGCTTCGAGGGATATAGTGAAGGAGATCGAGAGCGGGAGAGAGAAAGAGAGAGGGAGAGTGAGAGAGAGAGAGAGAGAGGAGAGAGAGCGCGAGGGAGGGAAAAACAGAGAGAGAAAGACAGATAGAAAGAATTATTGTGGAAAAAAAAGACATAGAGTGCAATATAAACACCAATATAGAGAATTAGAGAGATAATTAGAGAAAGAGAGAGAGAGAGAGAGAGGAGAGAGAGAGAGAGAGAGAGAGAATAAGGTGTATGAAGATAGAGAAAGAGAGAGAAAAGGAGATATGAAGATAGAGAGATGGGAAGGAAGAGACAAAAAGAGTTATGGAGATGGCCAGAGGGAAAGTGGATAGGGTTCAAGAGAGGAGATTGGAGGCAGAGGAAAAAATGTATTCAGGTTGCGAGAAAGACCTATTATTTATATTTATATGTGCGCCTATTTTGTATCACTGTACAAAAATGTAGCACATGAATAAAGTGCAGATGCTGCTTCTGGTATATTTTAGAGCTTATCTTGTGCATAGAAACATACCAAGTGCAAAAACCGCGTTCAAAAAGAATCCACCCAACTGGCAGATACACCATGCACATATAATTGCACATAAATATCGTAAATCTTCATATTCCAGAAAACACGTTTAACATAATTAATTTGCTTGATTGTCGCTTTAATTCGACAGTTGACAGATGAGCGATAGCCAGCTAAATGCTATTTGATATCGATAACAGAATGAAAACGATGACGCTTAGATAGATTTGTGTGAGACTTAAATAGGCAACTCGGACATTAGTTGGCTATGGATTAGAATTCTTTTTGGGTATGGCACTGAAAATTTAACTTCAATTAAAACCACTTCTGACATCAATAGTTTTGTACCACTCTGAAGCTAGCACAAATCATTAACGAATCATCATGGAAAATAGCCAGAAAATACCGCCAATTGGCTCGGAGCGGGCCGAGCGTATGGCTGCCATGAACAGCTTAAATATTAACGTAAGTTCGACCAAGGACCCCACGGACCCGGCCTCTCAGTGGCGCGGCGATCCGCAATATGTAAGTATCTCGTGGTCTTTTGCTAAATCGAATTAGGCAGCTCAAACGCTCGCACATTATCACAATTGCATTCACAATCACAAATCGAAACCCAATCTCAATCGCAGAACGCTGAAAATCCGATAAGTGCAGAGCTGGATGCCTGGTTGCGTTCGCAGCGCGAACGTCAGTTCGAGCGCGAGCGTCGGCAGCGCTTTGAGCCGTGGCACTTCACCGAGGACGAGCAGAAGGATGAGCCGAAGATGGCTAACGGTAACAAGTATGGGAAATCATCGCTGGAAAAATCCTTGCTGGAGAAACCCTCGCTGGAGAAATCGTCGTTGGAGTACTCGTCGCTGGAGAAGAAATCTTCGCTGGAGGAAAACACTTCGCCGGAAAAGAAGTCTTCGCCGTCGTCATCGCCGCTCAAGGAGAAGCCGACAATGGACCAGAAGCAGAAGCTGACCGAGCAGCTGATTAATTTGCAGAATCAGACACGCCGTCTCCTGCAGAGCATTGATCAGCTGCTGCCCTCACTGCCCAATCGCCAGCTCTTTCAGCAGACGCTGCTTCAGCTGCGCCAGCTGCACGGGCTGCTCAAACGCCAGTTGCAATGGCAGATGCAGCAGGACGACAATGAGCCGACTCTGCAGGAGCTGGTTGCTCAGCAAGCAGCTGCCGCAGCAGCAATTCTGGCATCAACTTCGACACCAACCACGGGAATTGTCGTAACTCCAGTTGCATTGGTGCCGACTCCACCGCCGCCGCCGCCCCCTTCTGCTGGAGCATGCTCGTATTTTATGTATGCACCGCCAGCATGGCCACAGCCTGGCCATCAGTGGCCGCCACTGCACCCTCAGCCGCAGCAACAGCAGCAGCAGCAACAGCAACAGCAGCAACAACAGCAGCAGCAGCAGCAACAGCAGCAACAGCAACAGCAGCAACAACAGCAGCAGCAGCAACAGCAGGAGCAGCAACAACAGCAACAACAGCAGCAGCAGCAGCAGCAACAGCAGCAGCAGCAACAGCAGCAACAGCAGCAGCAGCAGCAACAGCAGCAACAGCAGCACCAGCAGCAACAGCAACAGCAGCAACAGCAGCAGCAGCAGCAGCAACAGCAGCAACAGCAGCAACAGCAGCAGCAGCAACAGCAGCAACAGCAGCAGCAGCAACAACAACAGCAGCAGCAGCAACAGCAAGATCAGCAGCAACAGCAGCAGCAGCAGATACAGCAGCAACAGCTGCAGCACAAACAACAGGAGCAACAGCAAAAACAACAGCAGCAGCAACAGCAACAACAGCTACAACAGCAGCAGCATCAGCAACAACAGCAGCTGCACCAGCAGCAGCAACATCACCAGCAACAACAGCAGCTGCAACAGCAACTGCAGCAGCAGCAAATTATGCAGCAACAGCAATTACAGCAGCACATCATGCAGCAGCAGCACCATCATCAGCAGCAGCAGCAACAGCAACAGCATCAGCCGCAACAGCAGCTCCAGTTGCAGCAACTGCAGCAGTTGCAGCATATGCAGCAATTGCAGCAACCACAGCTCCAACTGCAGCTGCCCCAGCAGCAACAGCAGCTGCAACAGCTTCAGCAACTTCAGCAGCAGCAACAGCTGCACCCACAGCAACAGCAACAATTGAACAAGATGCAACAGTTTCCGCCGTGCTCCGGTCTCAACTTCAAGGCGCCCGTCTTCATCAACAACGGGCTCGTGCCACATACAGCTCCGGGGCCACCGGCCGGAAAGTTTCGCGTTTGGTATATGTCGCACAATGCTATGCCGCACGAGCTGGCTGCAAATCATTGGGGTTTGCCGCAAATGGAGAACGGCAGTTATTTCAGCAATGGCCCACATCTAATTAGCAATGCCAACATGAGCGAGGGCATCAACAACATGAATAGTAACAATAATAATAATAATAATATCAGCATGCAAGCTAGTAACAATTTGAACAACAACAACAACATGAATAACATCAACCAGAACAACTTCAATAACCTGAACAATAATAACAACAACAACAATAATAATCACAACAACAATAACAACAGCAACAACAACAACAACAACATCAATCCCAACATCGTCAATAGCAACAACAACACTGCCAACAACAACAATAGACAAATTCCCGTCTGGCCTCTCAATATAAATTAGGAAAAGAATCGAAAATCAACAAAATCTATAAAGAAGAAGAAGAACAAAAATTAAAATAATCAAAAAAAAAAAAAAAA